AGACGGGGAGCCTTGGCTTCCTCATCGCTGGGGTACCCAAGCCTCCTGTTCTCAGCTGCCTGGCTGCCGGCCGCCATCTTGGCTGACAGTTAATATGCATATCGCCCTGATTAGCCAATGGGAAGGGTAGCGGTCGTATGCCAATTACCATGTTTCTGTTTTATTGGATTAGATAGTACCATTTATTTATTTTTTCCTTTGTTTCTCTTGCCCTAGGCCATATATCTGAGAAAGTTCTGCTATGTGGGATGTCTGATATTTTGCTGCCTATGTTTTCTCCTAGGATTTTTATTGTTTCATGACTTACATTTAAGTCTTTTATCCATCTTGAATTTATTCTTGTGTATGATATAAACTAGTGGTCTAGTTTCATTTTTTTTTTTACATGTAGCTGTCCAATTTTCCCAATACCATTATTGAAGAGACTGTCTTTACTCCATTGTATGCTCTTGCCTCCAGTGTCAAATATTAATTGTGCATTAATTGATTTTTTTGGTCTCTTCATGTAGTATTAGCCCATTAATCTTTATCAATACCTTCATCATTGCATGAGCAGTTTTTAACACTCCTTCCTCTCATTTATTTGAACAAACCCGAACTCTGATCAATCTCTGTATTTATCACCTACTGTTTATGAAAAATTAATGAAAAGAAAAAGTTGTTTGATACTTCTTACCAATCCAATTCTAAGGAAAAATATTGTTTTATATTTCATTAGAAGCAACACAAGATTTTTCTGTAAATCTCCATTATATAGGGAAATCTCCATTGTACAAGATTTTTCTGTAAATCTATTTTTCTGTGTTTCACATTCTCAAGATGCCCACTGAGAAGATACTAAAATTATAAGTGCTTTATACCTTTACATGATTTGAGTGCTAAAGGCATGGTCACCCAATGTCCATTTTTCATCAATCAGGCAGCAATGGATACATGGAAAATAATGCAAATGTTCATATCAAATTGTAAATATTTTCTATGGGAAATTGTATTTTCTCATGTTTATTCAGAATTGAGTGTCCTAAAGCACCAACAGGTCCTTAGGCTCCATGCTGTTTGTCTTGTTGATGATTTATTATGTGCTAAGTAAGGGTTGTTGCTCTCAGACTGTGACCTTAAGGACAATGGCTCTTATTTCTGCATCTATAGCATCTAGTATAAACCACGTAAAAATAAAATTCAACCAGGAAGGGTGCATACAAAGGGAGCAATTAATTCTATTCACCATGGTTGGGTATGCATGGAGTAAAGAATATATGCCTAAGGAAGTTGAATAAGAACAGAATTTTAAACAAGTTGTAGGGAATTTCAGGAGAACATAGGCATTCCAGGTTGGAAAAAAAAAGATGCATTATATGCAAAAGCACAGGGAGTAAATATTACTGGCTTTATGAAAGTTTAAGTGTTGACAACAAGGCTAAATTACCACGAGATGAACCTGGAGAGTGTGGGAAAACCAGATGAAAGACCTTCTATACCTTGTGAAGGAGTTTGACCAGGGTCCTGGAAGTAATGAGAAATCAAAGAAGGATTAGAAACATCAGAAAGATCCTGTACTTGAATTTTAGATGATTTGGGGGGCATACTCTCTTGCAGGTGGATTAAATGGTAGGCGAATCTAGAGCCCAAAATAAACAATCCATGGCAGCCCACAGAAGTCAGCCTACAGAACTACAGAAGGACAGAATGGGGTTCAATCATGGAGTGGGGAGAGGCAAGCCAGAACACCCAGCACAGTTCCTGCTTCAAAGGAGTTCAGGCCATGGGGGATTAACACACATTTGGAAATGTACTTCTTATGTACAAGAAAATAACTTCGTCTAGAAAGAGAGATTAAGAAATGATCGAGACCATAGAAGTAACAGACAACTAGGGAGTAGACAGAGTGACAAGAGGAGAGTCCTGGGAAACACCAGCATTTGAGAAGCCAACAGAAACAGAACAGTGAGTTTAAAATATTGGTAACTGGTAGCAATGTTAATATTGGGTGCTCATGCTTGAGTGCTCACTGTCAGGTGGTAGGAGTTAAAACCCAGGTGGTGTCACCTCCCTAGCTGGCTTCGGGGCTTTAGAAATTAAGAGGGAACATATATGTTTTATGACTCTGCAGGCTGAGCACATTCAATTCCTTTTATCACTGTGCCTAATATGTTCCTTAGGGTCCAGTATTGGGGGAGTTGAGGCTCTAGGCACAGTAGGAGTTTGGAATTGGGGCTCTGCTGGATGCTGGGGAAGCACAGTCTGTGAACCTGGGAGGGAGAAGCCACCAAAGGACATTTGAAACACTAAGT